TCTACATAGAGAGTTCCTGGACAGCCAATGCTACATAGAGAGACCCTGTCTCAAGAAAAAAAGAAACAAATAAACAATTTATACTAATTAGGCATGGTGGCTCATGCCTGCAATCCCTGTACTTGAAAGCTGAGACAGAACTGTATTGGTTTGAGGTCAGCCTGGGGTACATTATGAGCTCCAGGTTAGCCAAAAATACAAAGTGAGACCTTGTTTCAAAAGACTAAACAACAATAAACAAAACAACCAAACAATAACAAAAAACCTGCCATCATATAAATTTTAGAAAGCATTCAAGAAGTGGATTGTAGAACGTTAGGAGGTAGAAAATGTACACGCAGGAAAGGACAGCCACTGTTACAGTGACAAAAGCGGTCTTGAAGTCTCTGCAGAGGCTGAAGTCTCTGCAGAGGCTGAAGAGTTCTTGTAACCTAGAAGAGCCACTTCCCTTTGAAAGCTGAGACAAAGCCACAAGCTGCCTAGCGAAAGCCACACTTGGGGCATGAGGGCAGATGCCAAGAACACTTTTCAAAGGGCATATTCAGTGATGTTGTTTCAGCAAGGGCCCTGTGTTTGCAAAAGATGCTCTCTAATCGTTCTGCTCAACTTCAAAGTCTCTCAGAAGAGGGAATTGCTGTCTTGGGGAAGAAAAAAAAAAAAGAGGGAATGGGAAGAACTTCTAAAAGCAACAGCAACCAAACAGCCCAAGCATATCGAACAGATCTAAGTGAATTAGGATGCTAGAACATAGTTCCCCACATTAGCCTTCTTCCCAGAAAGAGCAAGCTTGGATTCCGGTGAAGTGTAAAGCGAGTTTCACTTTAAAAGCAGATTCACATGAGAAAGGAAAACAAAGTCCTTCTGGTGCTGGCCCTTTACATGTGGTAGTTAATGGCAACTTAGCTCTATGTTTTTAGCTTTCTGTCGAGTCATGTACTCTCCTCCTCCACCGCCCCTTAGTTTACAGGGTCAACAAGCCAACTTTCTAAATCACGGGACTGAGTTTGCTGTGTTTGGTCTCAAGCCAGCTTCTTTATTATCTGTGTTGTTATGCACTACACAGCTCTGTAGACACACCAGACCAAACCAGAGAAGCAGAACCCAACGATTATTCCCAGACTGTCAGCCAACTGATTTTCATCCTGTTGCTCACTGCTACCACACAAAATAATGGTCTTTTATTCACAGGCCTTTATAAAATAAAAGTCCTAGGGCAGAGGAAAAATTCTGGTTTGTCAACCTCGCTGACTCTCCCTTTGCCTCAGTTTCCCAAGAGTTGTAACAAATGTTCAGAAAGAACTGTCTTCTCTTATTCTACCTACTGTCAAATACTTTGAGGGCTTTTCTCTCATTTCCTCCCAACATTGAACTATGAATGTGTTTTAGCTTCATTTCTATTGTTGTGATAAATACTCTGACTAAAAGCAACTTAGGGAAGATAGGGTTTACTTGGCTTACAATTCCAGGTTACCACCCATCAAGTCAAGGCAGAAACTTAAAGTTTCTAATATTCACAGTCAAAAGCAGAGAGAAACAAAACCATGCATGCTGCCGGCTTGTTTCTGCTCAGCTAGTCTTCTTCATTGCTATACAGGGCAGGAAACTGCCTAGGGAATGGTACCACCCACAATAGGCTGGGTCCATTCAAATCAATTAATGAGTAAGACAATCCCCCACAGATAAACCTGATCTAGATAATCCCAGCTGATTCTAGGTCATGTCAAGTTGACAGGCATAGCTAAACAACACAGAAGGTTTTAATAAAACTTTAGACGGGCATTGAGGTGGTTCAGTGGGTGGAGGTGGAGGCACTTACTGCAAAGCCTGGTGTTCAATCCTAGATATGATGTGGTAGAAAGAGAGAACTAATTCCTGTAAATTATCCTCTGACCTCCACACATGCATCATGGCACACGGATGCCCGTCTTCCCATTCACAAACATCATGTTTAAAAAGTTGTATGAGGACCTTGTTTTAGAGTAAGCTCCTGCAAGAGGTTCTAAAAATCAAAATGGAGTCCATTTACAGGGAAATTCACTGTCACCATGGAAGCGATTTGACCTTAAAAAATCAGGATTGAGGATACAACAGTCTCAACTTCTTCAACAGGTTTGTTCTAACTGGCCTGTTAATGAACTCTCTCCCTTTAACCCTTAAAAAAGATAGAGGTTACTCTTACAAGGCAAGCTCCTACAGCCTAAAGAGATCAGACTTAGCCTTGAGTTAAGAAGCTCTCACACCTAGCTGTGGAGTCCCCACGTACCCCACTCCCACCCCACTCCCATCATTGTGGTCCTAACCAGTACCCGGAACCTCCATGATCTTCGTTGTGTCTGATATGTTGAACTAAATCACATGATGCAAAACTTCTCACCAGACCCTCCTAAAACTTAGAAGAGTCTGATATTTCCTTTGCTCTAGGGTGTCTTATATGCCTCCTCAGAAGAGGCTCTTCCGGATGCTCCTCGTCATCCCTCTCAAGGCTGCTCAACCTTCTCCTAGTTTTTACTCCCACCACTGAGACAGTGTCTCTCCAGATTTTAAGGGAAAATTTCCTTCCCTGTAAGGGTCTGGGTTTTTTTTGTTTGTTTGTTTTGTTTTATTTTGAATATACCGTACTATTTGGTGCCTAATAAAACCCATTTGTAATAGGAATTACCTCTGTCAGGACTGACGGACTCAGGCATCGACTCTATGGACTCTATTATGAGCAGTTGTTTATCTGACACTGTGTGACCAAGTACTAACCAGGAAGCTACGGTTCTGCTGCTCTCCTTCCTTGTCTCGGCTTCCAGGGTGACTCTGAAGTGACAATCTGCTTTTTTGTTTCTTGTATCTGCTTTCTTCAGCTTACTTATTGTTTTCCTATTTATAAAACCATCTACCCCCTCACTTCTCTTTCATGGAATGGAGTCCTACTCCATTCCAGAGTCAAAAATAGAAATCTGGGACTGGAGAGACGGCTCAGTGGATAAAAGCATTTGTTGCTCTTCCAGAAGACCCAGGTTTGGTTCTCAGCAACCACATGGCAGTTCTCAACCATTTGTAACTCCAGTTCCAGAGGATTTGACTCATCTTTCTGACTTCCTTAGGTACAGGCACATAACACATGCAGGCAAAAAATTTCATAGGCATAAAAAATATTTTGAAATAAAAAGAAATAAAGATTTTAAGATATTCCAAGTAATTCTTCATCTTGTCTTATATGTTTTGCTTCCAGATTTCTGTGGTCTTCAATTATAATGTCTTGGGAAATCTCCATTTTTTAGGTTTCTGTTGTTGTTTTGCTTTGAGACAGGGTCTTCCTATGCACCCTTGATTGGCCTTAAAGTTGCTATGTAGCCCAGGTTGACCTCAAATTTTCTATGCAGCTCAGGTTGGCCTCAGACTCATAAAGATCCACTTGCCTCTGCTTTCAAAGTGCTGGAATTAAAGGTATTCAACCTTGTGCCCAGCTACACGCCATTTCTCAGAAGCCAGTTGGCTAGTGACACCACAGGACTGCTGTACGGACAAGTGACTCCAGCTGAAGGGATTTAAATAAGCCACTGCAGGTCATGCAGACAGTTACTACGAACGTGGTCAGAACTGGAACACATGTCTCCCCAGGCTTAGTTAACTGTGACTGGAATCTCAAAATACTAAAGAAAACTGAAAGTCTGGATTTCTTTCTCAGTCTAGGTTATTCTTAAGGGCAGTTTTTCAGGGATTTGTGATCCAGAATTCCATGGACATTTTAAAATAATTTCCTCCTTGAACAGAGCCAGGGGCTCAAGAACCCCAAGAAAGCTCAACTGCTTTCTTCAAGGTTGCCCTAGGCCAGAACTGACCCAACAGGAATCTTCTGGCCAACAGACACTACAGTAGGTGGACAAGGAGAAGGTGTGGAGAAGGCTACAGGAGCAATCATTTGACCAAAGGACCAGAGCGGTAAACCTAGTAAGATTGTGTGGGCCAGTGTCCTCTGTCAGTCAGAAGCAGAACATCTACAAAGAAGGAGAATTTTTTATTTTGAAGAAAAATAAGAATTTGTCCTAAGTACATTGTCACAAATCACAGATTGGCCTAAGGCACATATGGTTTTTTTTTTTTTTTTGCTTGTTTTTACAAATGAGCTCGCTTGGTACATTGTGTTTTATCAGTGTAGGATTTTAGGAATACAAATGGGTGAAGAGGGTTCCTGGTCATTGGATTGAGACTAGGCCAGGCAGCCACTGACTTCTGAGGGAAGAAGAAAAGACCAGCTTAGTCAACCAGGCAACACCTTAGGGTGAGGTCTGTAGGAGATAAGTCAGATCACCAGGATACCAGAACACAACGCTTCAAATATTCCTATGCTCTACTGAGTCGCTTGCTAATAAATAACTAAACCAGCATTTGGGTTTGTTTGTTTTTTTTTTCTCACACAAAAATTCCACGGCCTGTGGGCTCACAATTTAAGAGAATTTGGAGCTATCAGAAGTGAACTTATCCTACGTAGCCAACCGACAGAGTTCACCCCATTTTCTTTTTTTTTTTTTTTTTTTTTAAAACACTTTCTTTTTTTTTTTTTTTTTAAAGATTTATTTATTTATTATATATGAATACACTGTAGCTGTTTTCAGACACACCAGAAGAGGGCATCAGATCCCATTACAGATGGTTGTGAGCCACCATGTGGTTGCTGGGATTTGAACTCAGGACCTCTGGAAGTGCAGTCAGTGCTCTTAACCACTGAGCCATCTCTCCAGCCCTCACCCCATTTTCTTATCAACCTGCAACACTGGGCCCCGGAGGAGAACTAGTTGGAAGCAAATTCAGAACCGGAAAATCCAGGCAGCCCAGAGGGGCAACAAGTCCTAGCTCAACCAGGCGCGCCCTCCACAAAGCCTGGCCAGATTCCCACTGAATCTGGAGTGGGGGGGAGTCAGGGAGGGTCTGGCGTGGAGCCAGGCCCCGCCCCGCCCAGGCCCCGCCTATAGACCACGCCCCCTCCGAGCCCCGCCCCGCGCCCGCGCCCCAGCTGCGAGGCCCGAAACCGCGCTGTACTGAGCCGCTGCTGCTGTCGCGCAGTCCGCTCCTCCGTTGCAGAGTCGTGCCCTGAGCTCGGCCGACGAGGCTGCACTCGCAGCCGGGATCCTGCCACCCGCGACCCCAGCCTTCGCCGCCGCCGCCGCCGCCGCCTAGGGCGCCCCAGGCCGCACCATGGTGAAGGTGACGTTCAACTCGGCGCTGGCCCAGAAGGAGGCCAAGAAGGACGAGCCCAAGAGCAGCGAGGAGGCGCTCATCGTCCCTCCGGATGCCGTGGCGGTGGATTGCAAGGTCCTGGCTGGGGTCGCGGGCGGGGTCCCAGCGGCGGGGACGGGTGCCCGGACGGCCCTCCGCTCCCGGGTACCGTGGTGTGTGTGCAGCGGGCGGGGCGGGGTCCTGGCCCTGGCGACCCCCGAGGGGCCAGTTGCACAGGTGTACGAGCTCCCGCAGCTTTGCACTTGGCTTGGTCGCCCGGGAACCTGCAGCGACAGGCACCGCCACCACCACCGAGTTTGGCACTTTTCTTCCAGTATAAATACTGTGCCTAAAATGGCTGACATCATAACAAGCCTAAACCTCTGTTGTTTCCTACTTTCGTTTCTAGGCTGAACAGCACTTGGACTAAGTCCAACAACTGTAAGCATCTTAATTTTTTAAAAGCCCTTTTCTTTTACAAACTCCCTTGCCTACAAATGGCCTTCGGTGTTGGCAGGTAAACATCTTGGGGTCTGGAGAGAGGAGAAGACAACAGCAAACTGGGAATAGTTTCTGGCTGGTGATTTTATTATTGTAACAAATATTCCAGGTGAAAGTAATTGTTATTGTGGCTGTTCCCGAGGAACCCAACAGTTGACTTTTAAATGTTATCAGCTTTTTTGTGAGGACTTCTGAATAAGTGAAACTGGAACCCGAACATAGGAATTTGCTCCCATCACTACAAAATTCACCCTCATTTTACCACATTCCCCGTTAGCACTGAGAGAAGCTGTCTCTGGATTCAATTTTTAAAAGTGACGTACAATAATATTATTTTAAACATAAATAGAATTGTTTTCTAAGTTTTCTTTCTGCCTCCTCATTAGATTGTTGACATTTGATCCTATAGATATTAACAGTGGGTGCTGCTTCATTTTTTGATTAACACTTTTAAATACTTATGGTCACTCGAGTAATTTTAGTCTTGACTTAAAATAAATCGTTTGTGCCCATGGTACAAGTAGTAAGGAGTGTTTTGGGTTATTTTTTTAATGATCTAATGAATATTACTGTAAAGAAACAGGCCACTAATGCCATATGAAATTTTTGAGACTATAATAGCAATCTGGGCTGTTTGTCCCTGTTTTCTGGAAATGTTCTAGCCAAAAGCAAACATCAGGTTGATTTTTAAATGAGTGTCTTCCCTTGAGATAAGAAAAGTAAGCTGATTCCCCTAAAACGATTAAGGGCTCTGGTTGTAGCATTGTTTTCCTGAACCTAGAACACACACTGTTGGTCTTGAAAGCAAATGTTTAGAATTCACAGGTGAAAATTGTCATAGCAAATTACCATATCTCTTTGTCGAATGCACATTTTAATCTAGAATAGACCTGTAGTCAAGTACCCAGACACAGCAACTTCGTATCGGTATTCTTGTTTGTGGAGACTGCCTGGGTCTCATGAAGCCCAGGTAGGCTTCGAACTCAAACCTTCCCTTCATTTTCCTCCCAAGTTCTGGGATTACAGGTGTGCACAACCATGCCCAGCTTCAAATATATATTCTCAATGATAATATATAGGTATGTGATCTTTAAATTCTAAAACTATAACTCCTCCCACTCTAAGAAAGTATCAATGATGTCATTTCTCTGTCCTTTATTCCACTGTTGTGAAGGTTTGAAACTCTAGACAAACAGCAGAATTCACTTTGCCAAGGAGCTTTGAATCAGTCTTGCCATTAATGAAGTAGTGGCAAGTTCTTTTTTTTGAGCTCTTAGGATTTATCATATGCTCACAATAATTTAATTTTTATTTCAGAGTAACTGTTTATAGCTGTATGTTTTGCTTTTATTTCTTAATTTCTTTAATTTCTCTATCTAAAGGAAGATACTTCGATTAAACAGTGAGGGCTTCTGTTCTTCTATAGCCACACAGAAGTCATAGCCAAATTGGTTGATACAGAAAAACCCAAAAACAAAACAAAACAAAACAAAAAAACCCAAATTCTTTTTCCAGCTATAAGCTGGTAGCCTTTTCTCCGTGGGGGACAGTATCTCTACAATGGGAATAGCAAGAATAAAGGAAAAGCCTGCTTACTGAGCGAGCGAGAACTGACCTCATCCCAGAGCTGCAGAGCGATTACATAATGTTCTGGTGTTCCTTTGGGCTGCAATGTGTGGCAACCACCTTGTCTGACCGCCTGGGCTGGAAACAGAATTAACCTTAATGTGTTTTGCCTGGGGCATTTCCTTTGGTCAAGAGGACCAAGCTGGTTTGAGAACTTGGAAAGAAAGCATTTTAACACTTTTACAGAGTAGCTATGGACCAGTTTTTATACACTGTGCTTGAGGATACCTCGTGGGTATCTGTAAGAATTCTGTTCTCTCCTGTCAGTGGCTTATGTAACACACACGCACACACGTACGTACGTTTACACTGCTGTCTTCTGCTGTCCCCTGCCTTGTGTGAGAACCTTCTGGAAGCAGTTCTGCTGCTCTGTTACGGTTTCAGACTAATTTTTGCTTTGGTTCTCTGTCCCAGCAGCTACTTCTTTTGATTATGTTATCCCAGCTAGTTTGCATTATTTTTTCTTCCACATCTTTTGGTTAACAGTCTTGACTTCTTCTCAGATCCATCCTGATTGACACACAGCTTTTAGAGGGACAGACACAGCAAAGAGCCATAGTATGGTGATCTGTGTGACAAAGGTCAATTTGAAGTGATAAGGATATACTGTGGTACAGGCAGCAGTCCTTGATGTTTGTGTTCAGAGCTTTCTTTGACCCTTGGGAAAGTATGTGTGCAAATACAAATAAAATACTGTTACTGCATCAGAAGCCCTGAGTATGTCCAACATAACTGCTTGACTTTTTTTTTTTTTAAGCTTAAATTCTTTTTGGGGAGGGGTGTTGTGGGAGGGACAAGATTCAAGGATTGAACCAGATGGTCTGCAAGGACTCTTTCAGTTTTAAAATTGTATGAAGATGCTGAGATTATATAAATTACAGTTTTACAATAATTAAAATTGTTGTTATGGGTTTTGAGACAAGTTCTGTCGTAGCCCAGGCTGGTCTTGAACTTGCCACATAGCTGCTGATAACCTTGAACTCCAGATCCTCTGGTCTTCACTTCCTGAGTGCTAAGATTGTACTCATGTACCACCACACCCTGCTAACAATTCAATTGTTTTAATTGTTGGGGGGGAAAAAAAACAAAACAAGTGCTCCTCTCCTCAACAAGAGAATTTCCTCTCTTCCTTTCCATGTTTAATTTGTTAGATCTCTCCCTTGAGTCCTACAAGGGGTCAGCGGCCAAAGGAACAGGAAGCGAGTGGAAGGGAGGATTATGTAATCAAGTACGTACTCGGGTTTGCTTTCCTCACTGTGGAGCAGGGAATAAGCAACAGCCCGAGCTGCAGTACTTGCTCGTGACCCCTTCATTTGTCTGTTCCTGAGACATTGCAGAGCAGAGGAGACAGCATGGACACTGGGTGACAAACACAGTCGGAATTGTCCCAGACTGGCTCGGTGCCTCCCAGTTTGTGGCTTTAGGGGGTAGAGGAAGGACATAAAGTGCACGACTAGACATTCAGTGAGACATGTTGGTCTCTGCAGGGGGACTGGGAGCTTGTCTCTCTTTAGTCAGAGTGCATCTCATTACCTATTGATGTAATTTATGTTTGTAGACACTGGCTGGAAACGTTTACTATAGAATAGACTTGGCTATCCTAGAATTCGTGTAGACCAGGCTGGCCTGGAAAGTGCAGTAATCCTCCTGCCTTCTCCCTCTTAGAGCTAGGACAAACGTGCCCCCCATGCCTGGCTAGAGCCAGCAGAACTTTCACATTCATTAAATCTTGGCCTCTGTAAGGTTATGGATGTCTAAAGTGAGGGTTTGGTTCTGGGAGACAGATAATTGCTTCTGCATATCTCTGATGTGACACTCTGTTTTTTGAAGGTGGGTAATGTTGCATATTGTCATTGGTTGAAAAACAAGTTAGCTACTAGGATGATAGTCCCCAGGTGGGCAAGGCCAGATATTGTCCTTGGCATATTCATAAACCTCTAAGAACTCAGGGAGTTCAACTCTTCCACCTAAGAGTTTTATGTGTATAGCAGTATATATTTTTAAATCAAAAATACTAAGATTCATTTATGATATAGGTATACTTAATGCACTCAGTACTCCGCTTAGCAGGTGTTTATTATATGTTGCAAAAGCGTGACCTGTGTGTCAGCACCCAGAGAACAATGGATGAAGCAGCCTTCTGAGACATTGCAGTTTCATGAAACCATAACCCAAACATCTGAAGTGACTTCAAAAGCTGCATGCTTTGAGTGCTCTCGGAATTCATGTTTTGACTAAAGCCTCTTGGATCTCTTTGTCTGACATCGTGTTAGTAAATATCATCCTGGACAAAGAAATGGGTCAAAATAAAGATGTTCTCTTTTTAACTGGCAAGAGTTCTACTTTTGTGGTCCTGGGAATTGAACCTAGGGCCTTGTGCATGCTAGAAGAGGGTTTTACACCTCGCCCTGAGCTATTTCTCCAGCCCTAAATATGTCATTTAATTAGAGCTTGGAGACTGAAGGAGGAGTTAAGGACTTTCCCACCAGAGGATTCAGGCCGTAGCTGCTACCTGTTAAGCTAAAGGATTTCACATTGACTCTAAAGGCTATGACTGAGTGGCTTAGAGAGTGGGAACCCTGGGCTGTGCTTGTGATTAGCTGAGTTTCCGTGTAAAGCTAGGTATCCCCGGCACTTACTCTGCACGGAGTTTCACAGTGCTAGTCTTTTACATGACAGATAGCTGAAAGTTCAAGGTTTAGGATTACATTGCAGAAGTCACCCTAAGAACATCATTTAAAAACTTTCCAAAACCAAATCCCATTACTTGGTGTATTAACTTTAAAAATTATGAAAACAAAAACCGTTTTTTAAAAAAGCCCTCTCCCCTTAATTATAGTTTTTAACTTTCTTCTGTATTTAGGATCCATATTCTCACAAGCTTTAAGCTTATGCTACTAATAATTGGATGAAAAAAAAAAACATTTTTAAGGATTGCTGAATTTTAGTCCTTACATTGAGTTGAGAGG